ACACAGCAGGCCAAGCAGCATCAGACGAGCAGGAAGGCTGACATTTCAGGCCTACACCCTTCTTCAGAAAAAAAATGAACAATGTGAATGCTTCAGCCTTATGTTTTTTCTGAAGAAGGGTCTAGGCCCGAAATGTCAGCCTTCCTGCTCCTCTGATGCTGCTTGGCCTGCTGTGTTTATCCAGCTCTACACCTTGTTATCTCAGATTCTCCAGCATCTGCAGTTCCTGCTATCAGCTTCTAGACCATGGTTTGTCTGTGTTAGTTTGTCCCCAGTCCTCTTAGCACTGTTTCAATTGCTCTACTCTAGCAGTTACCAGCACAGTATGCATAGCACAGGCATTCCAACTCTGTCTCTTCTTTCTCAGTCTCCTTCTCAAACCATTCTCTTCATGTCTTGATTGCAACATCAGTTGCATTACTTACATTGATCCCTTACTTCTCAAAGCTTGGGAAATCATGAGAGGGTAATGCTAAATCGCAAGAGGGAGGCTTTGCAGGATAGGAAATAAATGGAAGGGGCAACATTGAGAGAGAGAGTTGTAATGTTCTGTAAGGATGGGGATTTGCTGAGAGAGGCAAAATCAATTCCAGGAAGAAATTCATGGGAAGGGTAATTGATTAAGGAGGAACTAAAATATCAGGGAAGGATTTGGCTCGGGGGGTGGGGGTTGAGATCATAAAATTCTCTTCCCCTGCCAGTGGAAGGGATTGGGTCATTGAGTGTATTCAACATAGATTCTTAATCAACAAGAGAATCAAGAATTATGGGGGACAGACATGAAAATGGAGTTGAGACCATTCAAATCAGCCATGATCTTATCAATTGGTGGAGCAGGCTCAAAGGGCTGAGTGGCCTACATCTGGCATTCCTCTGTTCCTGCCATGAGTGTTTTAATAATGCTGTCAATGAAATGGTCAGTTTGTTGTAGATATTGATGATAGACTCAATGGTCTTTATGGAATTTTCCTGGTTCTTTCTAGGTTAAAGAGATAGTCCACTCTGCACTGTGCATGTGATGACTGAACCAAGTCATCCCAGGAGACTGTAGATCCCAGTGTTGGAACAGAGTCGTGCATGAAAATGATCCATAAGCCCCAGAATAGAACTTTTGGACTTGTAATGGGATTCCTGTTTCCAAACAATGTTTGAATCTCTTTCCTTCTGAACCACTCTGACCTCGTTTTGTAAATACAGAAGAATTCAGCTTCCCTGATGGAAAGCAACAATGTAAACTTTACACAGAACTTGCTGAGTCAGGCTAGCCCCAGACGGCTAAATCTGAACAATGGCCCCTTCACAAAATGCTGTGACAATGAGACCATACAGTGTGCTGTTTATCTGCACCTAGGAATGTCATAAGCAATTTGAAAGCGAGTCACCATCTTGTGCCTGGAACTATCTTCTGATCTTACGCAGTTGGGATAACAGCAGTCGTTAGCTGCAATCTTATGGCACTTCATAAAAAGGGCCCCTGTCAATTTATTCTGAAGGCAAGTAAAATGGTGTAACTGTTTAAATCCTCTCAAGAGAACTTTTGAGCTAATTTGTTTTTGTTAAGAACACAGAATCATGCACAATTGTTTTGAAGTGTTCAATAATATGTAGTCAATTAATTAAAATGATTACAGTTTTGAAAACCTACTAACAAGCATACACTCAAGAAAGAGTGAAGAAATGGTAATTATAATTTGCATTTCAATACAAAAGAATTCACATTGATCTACTGTCTTTCATGTCTGCTGGACAGTACTTTACAGCCAATGAAGTCAGTTTGAAGTGTTGTAAATTGTAATGTAGAAACTAAGGGATAATTCTTTTGTAAAAGCTCTTCAGTATAATCCTGTATAAATAGTGCAGTGAGAAATATCTCAATGTTAATCATTCAATGTTCTATTTCCTAAAACCGTTAACTTAAGAAGATGCAGACTTTCAACACAAGCAAAAACAAAAGTAAAAATACTACTAGAAATCCAAAATAAAAATAGAAAATACTGGAAAGAAGAAGCACCTGGATGAATACATGAATAGGAAGGGAATGGAGGGATACGAATCCTGTAAGTGAACACAGTTTTAGTATGGAAGGGCAAAATGTGTTGGCGCAGGCTTGGAGCGCCAAAGGGCATGTTCCTGTGCTGTATTGTTCTTTGTTCTTTGTTTGAAATACTTAACAAGAACAGTGGAGAACCAGAATAGACGGGCGAAATTTAATTGAACCCACTGTAGTGGGTATAATAGAAAGTGAGGGTGTGTGGGAGAATCAAGTGGAAGAGCCTTCTTTGGATTCCTGCTGTGAGGGAAAAAGTGTCCCCAGTTAAACTGGGAACCAGACGTGCCCAACTCAGGAATCCTGCCCACTATCACAAGGTTGTTAATCAGACTCTGTTATGAACAGACCTGAGCCAGGTTCCCCAAATTATTCAGATTCCAGACTGATACGCCAAATATTAAAGCTCTCCTGTGAGGGGGGATGAACTAACTCCCCTTCTTTATTCAGCTGTCACCCCTCAAAGAGTGGTCACAGCAAGGTTATTTTAAAAAGTAATATACCATAGATGGTGGAAATCTGGAATTTAAAAAAACCCCACAGACTTGGTAGGCCTGGCAGCACCTGTGGAGATAGAAACGGTTAATGTTTTGTGGCTGAAATAACTCCATGGAGGGTGGTATCCTGTCACCAAGTCACCCTTTATTTACACACGCACAGTACATGGACTGACTAGGTAGTTGAGAGCTAGGCCCTAGAGTGAAGAGAATCTCTGATACTCCTTTTTATATCTGTCAGCCAGGACTCCCTCATTGGTCGAGGTTACAGGCCCAATCAGGGAACTCATACTCAAGATCCGCCTGGCCAACCTCAATCCAATCACTACACGGGACAAAGTCTCTTCTATGGAATTCTTCCAATGAGCAGTTTTTGAACTTGAAACATTAACTCTGCTTCTCTGTCCATAAATACTGCCAGATCTGCTGAGTTTTTCCAGCAAGGATCTATTCCCTGTGAATGCCTTTCTTCCAGATCAAATGCTTTTATGTTTTAAAAGGAGTCAATTTAGCCAGGCTTTCTTGAGTTAACAAATGAGTGAGTTTATAAGTTACTAAGTAAGAAAAGAAAAAAAAAATGCAGCAAACGCACAAATTAGGAATAGGAGATGAGTCCAAAAAAAAGATAAAAGTTAAAAGTTACATGGATCAGTATCTCTGGCTGGTTCATGAAGAGTGGAGCATTGATTGTTGAGTTGTTGATTTTAGGATTCAGTCACCATTCCGTGATTCAAGACAGATTTCACCATGCCCAATCCTGCCTGGTCTTTCAGGTTAAATGTTAAATTGAGATTCTGTTAAAAAAAATAAAGAATTGCAGAAGCGTTAACCCAGGTATCCTAGTCAACATTCATCCCTTACTTAACATCATAGCAACTGAGCCATTATCACACTGCTGTTTATGGGAGCTGTGTGCAACTGGGCTGTGGCATTTCCTATGTATGATTATGTTTCAAAAAGTACTTACCTGACTGTAAACATTCTAGGACATCCTGAAAGGTGCTTTCTAAATGAAAACTCTTGCTTTCTTTCTGGTTGGAATCACTTGTTGAAGAGTGATTCCTGTCCTGTAAAAATGGCCTAGATTGATACACAAAGCATACCTGTCCTAATACCTTCTCACTAGACTTGTTGTCAAATTTTATCACATAACATTCCAATGAAATACCTCAAGCTGTTCTGCAACATCAAAGCCACTGTGGGAAATGTAAGTTGCGTTTCTGTATGCAAAATACTCAGTCAAGCTTCTAAAAATTTTAAAAGTCAAGTGCCTGCTGTATAATGGAGCTAGTGTGAAGCTGGTCTTGTTTGTTTCCTGTTGTGGTTAGTCCTGTATCATGGGAATGTAGGGTACAGTAGCATGATTAGGCCATTCACTCTGTCAAGCCAGCTTCACGAATCAAATAAATCATGGCTAATTATCTACGTCAATACCGTTTTCCCCTACAGTCATTAGTCTCCAGAAAATCTGTCATAAATATACCCAATGATTGAGCTTCTGTAGGCTTCTGGGGTAGAGAATTCCAAAGATTTGTCCCATCTGATGAAGGAATTCCTCCTCATCTCAGTCCAAAATGACCTATCCTTTGTTTCATCTCTCAGACAGTTTGATTTAAATGCCACTTCATGAATGCATATATCGTTGGGACTTTGGGGAAATTATTAATCAATACAGTGCAAGATAACAACATTGTTGTATTCCTCTGAACCTATGCACACTTTAAATGGTCTTTCCACGTATCCTCCATCATTCATCCTCCATCAACCTCACCGGCTCGGAAGGAAGTGTGTGTTCCAGGCGTTCAAAACTCTGTACAGGAGATCAATAAACAGATTTAAGATTATTGTCAAAATTTGCATTTTCATATATGGCTGGTTTATTATTGATGTGAGTTCACCTCTAGCTGTGTTTTCTTTCTGATGTGGCAATGCTCATATTATTCCTCAACATAAAAAAAGCGTGGAAATTGCAGTATTGAAGAATCCAGCAGACATTTATTCCAGCTAATTATAATGTAGAAACATTACATTCACAGGTACATAAGTGTTTGGGCTAACATTAAGCTATTGGAATACAACAAAGAGCGGCATACTTCTAGTAACGTGTCATGCTTCAAACGGTCCAAGTCAAGATGGAGTACGAGACCATTATACCTTCAGGTCACATTCTATGATACAGTAATGATATCATTTGCATGTCTGTGAAGTGGTTTACTGACATTCTGACCAGGAGACATAAACAACAGGAATTACTAACTGCAAGCGTATTGAAAGTGATTCAATACTAACTTTCGAAAGGAAATTGGCTAAATTTTTTGTAAGGGGAAATAATTTTAAGAGCTAAGGGAAAGAATGGCTGAGAGTGTGACTAACTGGATTTCAAAGGACCAGCACAGACATTATGAGCTGAATGTCCTCCTTTTGCATTGTGTAGTTCTTTGATTCATGCACAGTTGTGAGACTGTGAATTCATGAAATCTGACTAGAGACTGACTCCTTCAACAGAGAGATTGTATTTTTCCATTCATACGACTGGTCTCAACTAGGCAGAGACCTGTTCTCACTTGCTCACTGACCAACAGGCAAGGAAGCAAGTTCCACATGGAATACAGCTCCTATTCACAGTGTGGGCGGTGTAGAAAAAATCCACTTCGTGATGTGGGCTACCCAAAACCAGATTAAACCTAGAACTAGCTTGACATGATTACAAGCTTTTTCAAGCATTTATACAGAACGTAAATATTATATTTGAAAACATATTCAGTTCCATAAACATTTTAAGGTTGATACTCCCAGTTCCATAAATATTTGCCTGAATTTTACCCATACCTGTGCCTGCCCTTCATCATCAGCAATGCTGGCTAAATTATCTCCAGCTGTGAAAGCACGTCAGTGTAAGGATGAGAATTTGGGATTAATTGTTATTGTTATGGCTGAGTTGGCTTAAAAATTAACAAGAGCAAAACAGTTAATGTGCTGGGTCACAGACTGACCTTGTTACCAAAATAAACCTTCACACTAGGTTTAAACAAAGTGCCTCTAAAGTCAAACAAGCAGCCATTTTAAATTCTAAATAATTGTACAGTTTTGTGCAATAATCATAAATCTTTACAAAACGCTTAGGTTCACAATTAAATGTGGTTTAAAAAGTTGCATTTTGCATGTAAACATCATCTATTTTGCTTCTACACTATAAAACCTAGATCCCTGAAGAAATATCAATTCCTTAATAGACCTGCAGAGTATACAGCAGACTAGCAATTGTTCATGGCCCATTTTTGGGGTCCTGTGGTTGGTCTTCAAAAATCTATGGCCATATTCTTGGCATTCTTGGTGAATTTTCATAGCCTTACGTGCCCATTAGGAGCCCAAGAGTGTGCACAATGGGACTGAGGTTCTGTGTCTGCCACTGACTAAGGCACCCATATGGACTAACTAGGGTTTGAACATTAGTGTATTATAAAAGTCACAGTCAAAGAACTATACCCTTGTCATCCCCGATTCACAAATAAATAAATTCTTTCACTCTGAGTGTTAGCAGCCAGCTGGTTAGCAAGTCAGCCAAAAAGAAAATAGGATAATAAATGGAATCTCTCTCACCTTGAACTGGGGAACCTCGTCTGGGATCTGGGTATAACACAGGCAAAAGAGGCTGCAAGGCCTTCTGCTCCTGATTCATAGGTTCCCCCTCTGCCTCTGTGGCATTTTCTACTTCTATTTTAAGTGGTCTCCATATAATAACAAACCTTGAAGAAGAGATGTTTGATTGTTATTTTCCTGGCACAAAGAATATTTCTGGGGAGAGATCCATTTTCAATCTCCGACAGACCTTTGAATGACTTCTTGTCATTAAAGTGGGCTGTCACTGGCTCACAGTGAGAAGCGATAAGTCTGAAACTGAGAAAAAGAAATTATTCAGACTCGGTGGAGTTTCTAGTTTGGGACTGTCAAAACAATGCCACCCGAAGTCAAAACAGAACAACTGAACTGCTCTGTGTCAGCAAAGTCCTCTGTCTTCTGCTCCCAGTAGAGTACCTAAAAATAACAGATTCTAACATGAATCATTTCCAGCATGAATTTGTGTATTGGCCCATATGTAACATGTGTTGTGAGACTCACACACATGGACAGACATAAACATAGACAGACACACACATTGACAAAGACACAAAGATCCATGTGAACAGACAAAGGCAGATGCTCTGTACATGCACTGCTACTGGAGATTCAGATATTGCTAAAAGGAGGCAAGAATTTGAAACTTTTCACCTTGAAATTTGATGAACAAGCAGCACTTTGAAAGCTTGTGATTTCAAATAAACCTGTTGGACTATAATCTGGCGTTGTGTGACTTCTGACCTTGTCCACCCCGGTCCAACGCTGGCACCTCCACATCATATTTCATACAGCATGAGAAGAGGGTGCTGATAGTTAGGCCATCATGGGCATGGAGATGCAACAAGAATAGTTAACTGTTCATTTTAATTCTCAGTCCAGGCAGGTAGATTCTGATTGGGCAGGGTGTTGCTATGGGAATACAGCAGTGATTGGATGGCTCCATAACCCTTTTTTGTGAAAAGGGTGCAATGTATGTGCAAACACCTTTGCTTACATAAAGCAGGGTCCTGTGCAATAATGCAGCAGGAGTTACATATATAAATACACAGGAGCCTGTTTTATTCAGGCAAAAGGAATTTGTTCATATCAAAGAGGGTCATGGAGACAGCCAACCTCTACTGCATCTCCATGGCAACAACCTGCCCAAACAGATTCTACCTGCCTAGTCTGAGAATTAAGATTGACAGGTGGCTGTTGCTCTAGCTCCATATCAATGACGGCCCAAATAATCAGTGCTCCCTTATGCTATATAGAGTTCCTTTTAGCAAGTCTGTTTCTTGCCTCCTGATTTTGATGAGTGCATGACGAAAAGCTTCAATTTCTTGTTTTCTTTTGGCTACTTTTAAGTCTGTCTTACCAAGCAGTTTATTTGTTGTTATACTAGAGATGAGAAAGTATCCGGAGAAGATGGTTAGTTACAACAGAATGAGTCAGGATTGTTCATCTCCTTGAAAGAAAAGTTATGCAAAACTTTACTGTCTAAGTCCTGATTTATACCAAGTCCTGATCACCCATCAGTTTGCTGACCTACATCGAAGCTTGATCTGTCAATGCCTTGATTTTAAAATTCAAATCCTTGCGTTTAATTCCTGTCTTGTCTTTCCCCTCACTCTCCGTAATCTCCATCCCTACAACCCTCAACTTGAATTCTTGTGCATGCTTCACTTCATTTTTATGCACAATTGCTGGCCTTGACTTCAATTGCCCTACACCCTGGAAACGTCTCCCTAATCCTCAAAGACACTCCTTCAAAATTGCCCCTTTTTGACTTTAGCCTTTTGATCAGGCCAAAAGTGTGCTGTTTTGCCATGTGGTCTGTTTTTAATGGATTATGTCATGGGGAAATCCATTGATTCGTTGTTTTCAGTTTGCAGCTGCACTTGAATGCATCACAGATTGACTGTTGAGGTGTTAAAATGCTGAAGATTCATTCACACCCCCTCTCAAAAGCTATATTCCTTAGATTCTGGTAATTTATCAAAACTTAACCTACACTGGTCTTTAAAATTTGGAATTTTAAAATTAAAAAAAAATTAAGTGTCTTTTTAATACATGCATGAGGGAAGGGTGACACAGTGCCAATATCACTGGTAATCCAGAGGGCTAATCTAATGTTACAGTCATGGAGTCATAGAGATGTACAGCATAGGAACAGACCCTTCAGTCCAACTCGTCCATGCTGACCAGATATCCCAAATAAATCTAGTCCCATTTGCCAACATTTGACCCATATTCCTCTAAACCCTTCCTATTCATATACCCATCCAGATGCCTTTTAAATGTTGTAATTGTACCAGACTCCACCACTTCCTCTGGTAGCTCATTCCAGATACATACCACCCTCTGCGTGAAAAAGTTGCCCCTTAGGTCCCTTTTAAATCTTTCCCCTCTCACCTTAAACCTATGCCCTCTAGTTTTGGACTCCCCCACCTCAGGGAAAAGACCTTGTCTACTTACCCTATCCATTGCCCCTCATGATTTTATCAACCTCTACAAGATCACCTCTCAGCCTCTGACACTCCAGGGAAAATAGCTCCAGCCTATTCAGCCTCTCCCTGTAGCTCAAACCTTTTAGTACTGCCAACATCTTCGTAAATCTTTTCTGAACCCATTCAAGTTTCACAACATCCTTCCTATAGCAGGGAGACCAAAATTGCACGCAGCATTTCAATAGTGGCCCAACCAATGTCCTGTATAGCCACAACATGACCTCCCAACTCCTGTACTCAATGCACTGACCAAGCATACCAAACACTTTCTTCATTATCCTATCTACCTGCGACTCCACTTTCAAGTTCTGGGGACATGGATTTAAATGCCTTCATGTCAGGCGATGAGATTTGAAAAACTGTCCTAATGGCCACTTTGTAAGGACTATCAACTCTCTTCAGAACCCTTCTGGTTCACTAATGTACTTTAGGGAAGGAAATCTGCTGTCCTTATCTGGTTTAGCCTACAAGTGACTCCAGACCCACAGTATTGTGGTTTACCCTTAAAACTGCCTTCTGGTCAACAAACAGGGACACTAAATGCTGTTCCAGCTCGTGATGGCCATATTCCATGAACAAAGGGAAAAAATGAATTAGTTTTCAGTCAGATTTTGCAGTCATCATCGGGCAAAAATTAACCTGACACATTTCCCAGTCAGAGACTTTCCACGAGCTATCCCCATTGGGATTTGTGGCTATGAGAAAGAAATTTTGGGACAATAACGTCTTCAAGAAATGTGGGACCTCACATTGAAGAACCCTCACTTAGCAAAGCAGAAACTTAAACAGAAAATGTCAGCTACATTTTGATTTCAATGTTAAATCAGGCACAGAAAACAAAATAAAGAACAGGAAAAATAGAATGGATTAAAACGTAGAGATAGAAGAGTGAAAAAGAAAAAGTTAAAAATTTCACTTTTCTTAAGTTCCAACAATAATTAAATTCTCAAGGAATTTGACTCCACACTTGTAAAATTTAATTTTCAGTGTTGGAAAGGTTGCTTGGAAGTAATTAAACCTTTTCACACCATTACAATTTTGCATACACTGGAATAGTACCGAATTTCTATCATGTTTAATGGGCTAGTGCTGGAATTTCACGCTGTTACACAGAACATAGAACATAGAACAGTACCGCACAGTACAGGCCCTTCGGCCCATGATGTTGTGCCGACCTATTATCCTACTAAGATCAATCTACCCTGCATACCTTATATTTTACTATCCTCCATGTGCCTATCCAAGAGTCGCTTAAAAGTCTCTAAAGTACCTGACTCCACTACCACTGCCGGCAGCTCATTCCACACGCTCACCACTCTCTGTGTGAAGAACCTACCTCTGACATCTCCCCTATACCTTCCTCCAATCACCTTAAAATTATGTCCCCTTGTAATAGTCATTTCCGACCTGGGAAATAGTCTCTGACTATCCACTCTATCTATGTCTCTCATCATCTTGTACACGTCTATCAAGTCACCTCTCATCCTTCTTTGCTCCAATGATAAAAGCCCTAGCTCTCTCAACCTTTCCTCATAATATGTGCCCTCCAGTCCAGGCAGCATCCTGGTAAATCTCCTCCGCACCCTCTCGAAAGCTTCCACATCTTTCCTATAATGAGGTGACCAGAACTGAACACAATATTCCAAGTGTGGTCTAACCAGAGTTTTATAGAGCTGCAGCATAACCTCACGGCTTTTAAACTCAATTCCCCTGCCAATGAAAGCCAACACACCATATGCCTTCTTTATAACCCTATCAACTTGGGTAGCAACTTTGAGGGACCTATGGACATGGACCCTAAGATCCCTCTGTTCCTCCACACTGCCTGTATTCTGCATTCAAATTCGACCTTCCAAAATTAATCACTTCACACTTTTCTGGGTTGAATTCCATCTGCCACTTCTTTGCCCAGCTCTGCATCCTGTCAATGTCCCGTTGCAACCTACAACAGCCCTCCACGCTGTCCACAACTCCACCAACCTTTATGTCATTGGCAAACTTACTAACCCACCCTTCCACTTCCTCATCCAAGTCATTTATAAAGATCACAAAGAGCAGAGGTCCCAGAACAGATATATGTTCCAGATATATAACAGTTACATATATTCGAATGCTGTGTGGCTCAGTGAGATACTGGTATTATTAATTTTTTAAGGTATCAGGGCAAACTGCACAAGTGTGGTCCCTGAAAGTTTCTGTCGAAGTTAATATTCAATGATGGGAGAGTGCTGGTGCCCCTGATGTTATTTTCAGTGCAAAATGCAGGCCATTATTAACGTACAAATGTGTTGGAAAGCATCAATACATAATTTTGCAAACACAGAGAAATATATGACTGCATCATTAAAGCCATTGGAATACATTCTCATTAGTTACACTGTTATATCATTACAAATACTTTGAATGGTATCATATTATTATGTACAAAGAAACCATCGTAATTCATCATTGTTGCATTAGAAAGACTCAGATACAAAAATAAATCAATTCACCATTTGCAGCTGGTATCAGTTGACAAACAGAAAAATAGGAGCTACAACAAAATGTCTTGAAATTTGCATTTATAAAGAAAATTCATCCCTCAAATCTTAATCCCACCTACCCTGACTGATGGAGGGATCTAACATATTTGGACTTGGCCTGAATTTTTTAGACTGTTAGGAGCAGCTTTAGTTAATTAGCTTGGCTTTAAATCTTATTATAGAACTCAAATTTATTAGGAGTACTTATTTGAGTTCTGGTCACCTAAGGAAGGATGCAAGGACTCTGGATGCAGCACAATGCAGAATTATACTTGGACTGAAAAGATTACATTAGGAGAATAGGTTTCATATACCTGTGTTATATTCATTTGGTCAAAGGAGATTAAGGGGTGAAAGAGATGTTTCATATGATTAAAAGGGTTCAATAGATCTAGAACTCTCTTCTCCAAAGAACTATTAA